AAAATTGTGTTTTTGTGATGGTGATGTGTTTGTAGATCTTACTTTACTGAACATTCTTGATGCTTACAATTATCTCTATCTATAATGAACTTGGCCCAGTAGTTTCAGTGGAAATTATTTTGTAAAATTTACAAAATTTATGAAAATTGTTAAAAATTGATTATAAAGGGCAATAACTCCTTAAGAGGTCAATTGACCATTTTGGTCATGATGACTTATTTGTAGGTCTTACTTTGCTGCACATTATTGCTGTTTACAGTTTATCTCTATCTATAATAATATTCAAGATAATAACCAAAAGCTGAAAAAAATTACCAATTCAGGGGCAACAACCCAACAACGGGTTGCCTGAATGGTCTGAAAATTTAAGGGCAGATAGATCTTGACCTAATAAACAATTTTGTTTTTGAAAGATTTGCTCGAAATGCTTTGGGTTTAGATATATGAGCCAAAAACTGCATTTTACCCTATGTACTATTATTAGCCATGTCGGCCATCTTGGTTCGCGGGCGGGGTCATCAGACACAATTTTTAAACTACATACCCTAATGATGATTATTTACAACTTTGGTTAAATTCATCTTAGTAGTTTCAGAGAAGATTTTTGTAAAAGATCACAAAAATTTACGAAAAATGGTTAAAAATTGACTATAAAAGGGCAATAATTCCTTAAGGGGTCAACTGACCATTTTGGTTATGTTGACTTATTTGTAGAACTTACTTTGCTGAACATTATTGCTGTTTACAGTTTATCTCTATCTATAATAATATTCAAGATAATAACCAAATACGTCAAAATTTCCTTAAAATTACTAATTCAGGGGCAGCAACCTAACAACGGGTTGTCCGATTCATCTGAAAATTTCAGAGCAGATAGATCTTGGCCTGATAAACATTTTACCTCATGTCAGATTTGCTCTCAATGCTTTGGTTTCAGAGATATAATTAAGTCAAAATCTACATTTTACCCCCATGTTCTATTTTTAGCCATGGCGGCCATCTTGGTTGGTTGGCCGGGTCACCGGACACATTTTTTAAATTAGATACCCTAATGATGATTGTGGCCAAGTTTGGTTAAATTTGGCCCAGTAGTTTCAGAGGAGAAGATTTTTGTAAAAGTTTACGGACGACCATGGGACGACGGACGCCAAGTGATGAGAAAAGCTCACTTGGCCCTTTGGGCCAGGTGAGCTAAAAATGACAAAGTTCAACTATCTCCCAAAAGAGCAAATATTAATAAAAATCAAAACCCTGACCACATGCACACCTTCAATATATGTACAAACAGCCAGCAAAGTGAAAACTTCCTAGCATTGAAACTGTAGGAGGAGTTATCTGGAAACGCTATGCACCTCTTTTGCAAGTATATACTCCCAAATATCAAAGTTCAACCAAGAAACAACACGAACTCCACTGAAAACTGGGAGTGAAATCAGGTGCTCCGGAAGGGTAAGCACCGTATATCGCACCCATCGTGTTATTTCTTTTTTCTATCCGGTAATGATAGGTTACTTATATGAATGAGGAAGATATAACTAATACAGTACTCAAACAATTCACGGTACTTTTAGGAACTTTTTATTTATATTTATATAGACTTTAATGATTTTAAACAAAACATTAACCAAAATGCATTTTGTTGTTTTTTGCTGATGAATATCAAAACATGAAGTTCACCGACTTTTTTCCCACTATGTTGGACAATTGTTGGTAATTGACAACATTTTTAAAGGTTCTCTGTATGACTTATCTATTTTGGATAATAATGCTGTTTCAGTATGGGTTCCTGGTTTGCTGACAATGGGGGTTTTCAGGCTAATTATATAAATATTTATAAATTTGGACTCGAGTTGTATGCTTAGCAAGATGTTTTCTATTTAAACACGAAAAAGTGTTTTAGCATTGTTTTGTGTCAGTTTGAAAATAATAACTGTTCTTGGAATTAAAAAAAAACCTCATGTAATATAGCTGCAAAGTCTGAGTTAGGACGATTTCCACTTGACTCCTTTATTAAAACTCAGGTTTTATTATATTTTTGTAGAATAAACTGCCATGAAATAAACCCTCTTGTTAAAGAAGCTTTTGCAGTAAATAAGTCTATGTCTGAAGATGGAATATATACTTGGTATACTTTTGCCAAGCATATTTTTAAAGAATTAAATATTGATGAAGAAGAATATGTTGATTTTGATAAACCTTTTAAACTTATAAAAAATTCACTCAAAAAAACTTTTAAACATATTGTGAAGGAAAAGTATAATAACATCACTCTTGAAAAACTTTCAAATATTGATAACAGTTCAAAACTTTATCTTTATAGTAAACTTAAAAATGAAATTAAATTGGAGGACTACTTGCACAATCTAAACAATTTTAATAGTCGTCAACTTTTAACAAAATTACGTGTAAGTGATCATAATTTGGAAATTGAATTAGGACGTTATAAAAAAATTCAAAGAGAACACAGACTGTGCAAAGTTTGTAAAATTTTAGATGATGAGGAACACTTTTTCCTTCATTGCCAAATTAACAGTAATGTAAGACATTCCCTTATAAATGCAATTAAAACCCATTATCCTAATTTTAACCAGCTTGACTCAAACTCTAAACTTAAAACTATTCTAGATCCCAATAAAGATATTTTGTCTAGTGTTGTAGACTATACAAAGCAATCTATGGAATCGCGAAAATAAGGTCCACATTGGTCAATTATTATATATATATATATATATATGTAATATCAACTTGACTTGTTTAAAACATTTATCATGTATTATGTTTCTTGTCACTTGTGTATACAATGTACTATGTTTGCATTTTAACCCGCCAGGGTTTCATGTTTTGCAATAAATAACAATATGATAGGATCTTGGATTATCCTTTGCAATCCAAACTTAGCATCAGACTCTCCTTGTGCCCAAGTAATTAACATAACAATAAATCAAAACTTTTAATAAAGTACTTACTGAACCATACAAATGAGGTCAAGGACAATGATCATATGATAGACGGAAAGTTCGTAACATAAGGCATCTATATACAAAGTATGAAGCATCCAGGTCTTCTACCTTTTAAAATATTTAAACTTTTAAGTCAAGAGCTAACGCCGACGCTGCCGCCTGATCACTATCCTAAGTCTTACTGGCTGGTACAGTCGATACAAAAAATAAAAAAAAAAAAAATGTCATTGACATTCTACTTACACCGTTGAAGTCAGTTTTGGGTATATATTACCCCTTTTAGGCTTCATAGAAATATACACATATTCTTAAAATCAAATTCTTTGTCTTATATCTTTCACAAGTAGAAATAAATATATCAAAAAGTTCAAACTGCTTAAAAGTCCTTTAATTTATTACATTTTCGCCATCACTTTAGAGGAAATAAGTTTTGCTAAGGCACTAAGAAACACGAATTACTCATGATTGCCATTGTTGTTGCTCAATAATGACGAAATGAGGAAACTTTATAAAGGCTTCTTGTCAAGTTTGGTTCCATTTGGCTAATCGATTTCAGACGAAAAGATTTCTAGAAACAAGAATTGCGAAGTCATAAGGCATCGCCTTTACTTATCTAAAAAAAAAATGAAAAAAAAATGATAAAGGATCTTAAAAAGATGCTAATGCTATCTGACAAGTTTATTTCCTTTAGGCCTAGTGGTATTAGAGTGTGAAATTTTACAGACGGACGCGTGGATGACAGCCACCAAGTGAAAACAAAACCTCAATAGGCCTTTGGTCAGCCCAGCTAAAATTTGATCACCTATTGAAAATAGGTCATTAGTCCAATTCTAGGCTTTTATTTATCAAATCAAAACATTCTAATTTATCCTAACAATTGTATTCTTTCTACATTCATGTAACATGATTTATTCAACATACATGTGAAAATGGGATTATTAACTAAAGACCTTTGTAAAAACTTCTCAACCGCTTTACATTTGACACCAATCTCTATACATAGAGACTAGTAAAACATTTCCTTTGTACAGTAAGTGTAAAAATTTTAACATGTCATTAATATACCTTTGTGGTCAATTACCATTCACTACAGTGAAACCTGATTAAACCGAACCCTGAATAAACCGGAAACCTGTCTAATCCAAACTTGTTCTGAAGACCAATCATATCACATTTTAAGCATTGTGAACCTGATGAAACCGAATACCTGCCAAAACTGAACAAAATCTCAAGTCCTGAAAGGGTTCGGTTTAGTCAGGTTTTACTGTAATGATGTTTATCTCTTATAGAAACAACAGACAACATATTTTGTTGGAATTACAATGTATTCCTTGCTCTCTAAGAAAAACATGACTCGCCTACTCAGGGCCATGCCACACCCTAGTTTGAAGATTTAATAAATGAACTGCAAAGTATATGAGACAATCATTTATGGGATAGCAAAGAACCTTATTTGTTGTAGTTTCATAATTAAGGTTTAAATATATTAACATACATATTTATATAAACTATAACACTCTTGGTCATACAGTAAAAAAAGAAAAAAAATGTGCATTTATAGAAATTGCTTTGAAATTTCTATCAAAATAGTATTCAGTCTACTATAACAGCAATTAATAATGATGAGTTAAAAGTTTAAAAATCTGAAACTTGTGTAATTTTTTTGAATATAACATGTGTTTTTCAATTACAGATTCTAAAATTCCATGTAAAATTGAAGAGAACCAGAGTTAAGTTATCAAATGAATCAACTAAATTACCTTCAGGTATAGACGGGTATAAATAAATATATTCGAAGCAATTGTCAAAGTATTTCACATAATCTTTCAAAGCAACACAAACTGGTGGCTTCACCTCTGGTTTTATAACAAGGTTAAAAAAGGGAAAATTAAATGGGTTACCCTACAAAGTTGTTTTTTCTATTTAGGACATGTTACAAAACATTTCAATTCCTGTTAACAAGGCACTTACTCAATACTTCTACATGTTCTGAAATGCTTAATTATTTACAGAACAAAGTAAACATAAGGTGGAAGCAGTCTATTGTAATCCATAATAGGTGTTGCAAAAAGCATAATCAAATAAGTTGAATAAGACATTATCTTCAGGAAGTTGGTCTTCAGTCTCTGGAACTGTAAGCGTTATACGGTTGATGCATGTATTTGCTGTTGGCAGATAAGAAATTCGTTCAGAAAAATGCAGACTTGGATGCATCGAAAATCCTAGAATCGGTTCCTCTTCCACACTGGTTCCAAATTTTAGAATTTTGGCTAAATTCACATCGCCTCTTCTTCCACCTGAAAAGAATGAATACTATTCGAACAAATATCTACAAACAAATAATTCTTAATTTAGTTACTTTTAGTAAAATAAGCACTTCTGAATTTCAGAAAGGCTTCTTTTACTAAAAGTAACTAAATTAAGAAGTGAATTTTACCAATATCTAGTTATTCAGTTTTGCATACCAGCAAAATGCACATGTAGGTATGGGATCTCTGGAATTTCCACTGTAATTGATAATTAAGACTCATAAAATTTAAACCTGCCATAGTTTGAAAACTTTGATATTTTGCAAAAAAAAAAAAAAAAATACGAAATTATTATGATTTGATTACAATTTTATTCTGAACTTAAGAAATTCATTTTAAAGAAAACAATGAAAATTAGATTATGAAATAAAATTGAGAATGGAAATGGGGAATGCTCAAAGAGACATTGAAAATAATAAATCAATAAACCAAAGTGAACACATTTATAATAAAATATTTATAGTGTTTAACAGATAACTTTTAAAATTTAAATAATCAAAAGGTGCAGCACTTACTTCGCCAATGATACGAATTCTATAATGAATTACATGGTCATTGACACATTTAACATTTTGAGACTACATATTTTGTTTTACCCTATAGTAGAATCCATAATACATACTAGCAGCTTCTCTCATATATTTTATAAATTTAGAATAAACTCTATTTTCTCTTTTCCTTCTATTTGAGCCTTCCTCTGAAAACTCAGGCCTCAGTATCGTTGTTATCATCTTGAAAGTAACTGGAGTTGACGGACTTGGTGTGAACAAGTGTACTAATGGGGGTAGACTTTTCACCAACTGAAAATAATGATTGCTAAATTCAGAATAATTGAAACAGTTTCATGCCTGAATATTTGCTCTACATAACCAATGCAATATACATGGTATTCACACAAAAACGTGTACATGTATCCCAAAGCATAAACCTTATAGTCGATTATTTAATAATTTTAATGTGCAAGCATACAAGTCATGTTAAGTTGCTTTTTATTTCTACAATCAGCCTGAACAGCTCAGTCTTTTGTGACTTTTGACTTAGACTTTCTTGTTTGGTACCATAAGTGTTGTTCTGCCTTCAATTTTTATTTATTTGTCCCTCTAAAAATGTTGTCTTGTTTTCTGTTTTTTTTTTTTTTTTTAGAATGTTCGATTGTTCACTTGCTCTTCCTTTATCCTATATGCTTTATACCTTGAATAAAAATACCGTGACGTTTAGATTACCTGAAATAACCCTAAAGAATCAAGTCCCATGCGAAGATCTTTTACAAATTCTCTGGGGTTCTCCTTTTCAAAAAGTTCTTCTAATAAATCTGTTGTGAGAATACGTGGTAAAGTCCCATTCTGAAGAATGCTTAGTGCTGGAACAGAACGAATGATTGAATAAGACTAGTTTTCATTTTATTGTGACTATATAATGGTTTTTCAAATAACTGATTTGTGTTTCAATTTAATTTTAAAGAACACGTTAAGTAAAATATTCTTTTCCAGAAATTCTGAAAAAGGTTTAGGTACAGTTAATAGACTATATATTACAGAAATCGGCAAATATTTGCATACAACACAGTAACCGGAATTTATATTACATTAGATGTACATTTCACATAAATCCAGAAGTTTGATTGTCTAACAATAATCGTGCGGCTTTCTAAAATTAACCTTCATTTCAAAATCAAATGTAACAATCCCGATGACACGTGCTTCGATAAAAAAAAAAAGTGCACAGTAAATAGAAGAAAACCCCAATAGAACTCTTTCTTTCATGATCCTAGTAAAAAAAAATTATAAGGATTGAAATTAGTAATGCTATAGGGGTGTAAAAGTGTTGATCGTGCGCACATTTTTAGATTGCATACAAAGTGTGCTTCAGTCGACACTTTTACCAAGTTAACCCAATAAAATTACAAAAAGACCGAAGCTTTCAATTCTTAAATATACTCAATAATTAAAAACAAGAAGTTTTTTAGCAGAGCTCACGAAATTATACCCCATCCTTACAAAGTTTATATTTTCAGTATTGAAAATCTGCAAAATAATTTTTACCATAACATAAAATAGAGGAGCACAATCACAGGCACTTGTCACAGAAAAATCTCTATTAAGTCTGTTAAGGTATAGAGATTTGTTTTTCTGAGACAAGTGCCTGTGTACACAATGACAATTCATGGTGAAGATTCAATGAACATTCGTTGAATTATAAGCAGTGGTTTAGTAGGAGTTGCAGATACAAAATGAGTATGGCCATATAAGGCAATGGAAAAGTACATTTGTTGGAAAAGAAAACACTGAAATTATTTAATTAAACAACAAAATTATTAGATAATGAATCTGGGAAAGTTTCATTTTAAAGTTATATTAAATGGTTTAGAAGGAGTTGCGGATATAAAAGTTGTACATATTCATGTTGTGATATTGTAGCAAATGGACGAACGAACGGAAGGACAGACGGAACCCTCATTACTATTTACCTTCTATTAAAACAACGGGGTGTAAAAAAGCGGATGTATAGTTATAATCGGTATCTGAGAAGAATAAGTAAGGGTTAAAAAGGAATACTTATCTTCCTATTTATACTTACCAAAAATCTTTCCAATCACTTCGTAATCTTTGGACCATTCCTTTACTGGATTAAAATATTTCTGCTGAATTTCTCGCATAAGAATTGAGAAAAATTCTTTTCGGGGTCCACCCAAATCCACTGCTTTCTAGAAGAAGAAAAAATGTCACATTAAAACAAAACGAAAACCCTTTAATTCAGTAGATAACAATAATTAATTTAGGGGAACATGTTATGCATGAGCGCGAACGAACCGATATCGAAGCAGCGGTGGCCTTGTATATGGTGATCAGTCTGCTTGTCCGCGTGTCAGTCCGTCTGTCCCTTACAAATGATGTTCGATCCAATCTTGCGAACTTTCATTATTTTAAAGTTAGTACATGATTTTAAAGTTAGTTTTATTAAATGTATATTTAGTTACACGTAAGGGTGTGTCATTATAAACATACTGGCCTTGGATGAGTGGTGAATTGTCACTAGAGGAAAAAATTATCACCGGAGACGCAGCTTCGATACACCTATACATGTATTATAGGGAACAGTATTTAAGATGCAATCAAGTGTAAAAAATCAAACGACTTTTGGATACCTATGTAATTTTAGAGCCAAAAAAAAAGAGCAAATAATTCAGGAAGATAAAACACATTTAGAAAAGTTACATCTACAGTTTTGTAAATATACATTGGGTATTAGAAAAACTTCATCAAATGTAGGTGCAAGAGTTGATTTGGGGAGACTTCGGAAATATCCCGTTGTTTTGACTGAAAACCTTGACTCTTTTGAAATTTATTTTTGGTTTTGTAAAACATGTGTTAGAAGAAACAGGTTTGGATTTAGACACATTAAAACTAGAAAGATCATATCATAGGGAACATGTGTACTAAGTTTCAAGTTGATCGGACGTCAAGTTCAACTTCATCAAAAACTACCTTGACCAAAAACTGTAATCTGAGATGGACGGACGAACGAACAGACACACAGACCAGAAAACTATCGTAGGTGGGGCATAAAAAGGAAGATATCTTAAAATCCCAAGAGAAGAAAGATTATGCAAAAAATGGAAAAAAAATAATGACAAAATTCATTTCTTTTTATATTGTGATATTAACGGTAATATTAGGAAAGTTTATTTTTTAATGAGAATACACACTTTACATATTTAAACGGTATAGATAAAAGCTATACTATTAAATTTAAGGACTGGACATTTTTAGCCGGTTTGTCACCGAGCCGACGATCTTCTGAAGCATTATCTAATAATAAATAGTAAGTGTATATGTAATGTACTTTATAACTTCATATAGTAATTGCTTTTATTAGCATAGCTTAATTAACTAAACCCCAAATAGAGTTCCGTAGCTGGTTCCATCCCGTCTACATTTTGTAAACAACCCAAAATGGAATGTGTTCTAAACATGTGCAAACGTCCCATGTGCAAAATCTGCCAGTAGTAAACAAAAATGTTCTAAGCATGCGCAAAAGTTATCACGGGCCAAGAATAATACCAAATTTATAACATTTACACGAAAATAATATAGAATTAAAAAAACTGAAATGACATTAAATTTACAGACTTGCATTAAACATACATACGTTTATGAAACGTACCCTCAGAGTTTAAAATGCAATGTGCTGGTTGGACCCCCCTATTTTTGCCCCAACAGTCATGCGGCCGTTGTACACTTTATTACAAATTTATTTAAAGGGCGGTAGTTGTGAAATGTACCCTCGGGGTAATGCATTACCGTAGCTTAATTAAATAAACCCAAGAGTTCCGTATTTGGTGGTTCCTTTCCGTCAACATAACTAACTGTGTAAGCATGCATGACAACTCGACCCATAGTCAACTCGCAGAACGCACGCACGCAACTATTTTTACCAACTAACACCACTCGAAAAATAGAAAACTACAAAAACTCGGAAAAAGAAATATTACAAACTTGCACCACTTAATAAAACACCCATCTATGCACAAAAAACAGTCTGGGCAATACGAACCACCCAACAGTGCAATGTAGTGCTATGCTATGTATATTCATAAACATTTTAAGTATCCTAGGTCTCTTCTAGTTACATATATACTCAACCCAAGATCACACATTCAGGTAAATACGCTTAATTGGATCCTTTTTAAAACAGTCTATAGAAATGAGGACAGGAGACTCTATATAGATAATCTTGTTGATATTGTTTGATTTTATTTTGTTATGTTTAGGAGGGATCGGAGGGGTCCTGATCCCGAAATTCTAGGCTTAAAAACATGAAATCCCGAGGTCCCGAATTTAAAAAAATTTCAATCCGACATCCCGAAATTCGGAATAAGAATTCCCGGATCCCAAAAGGATCAATCCCGAGCTTAAAAACACCCGATCCCGGAGTCCCGATAAAGGTCCGATCCCCCCTCTTATGTTGTGACACATGCTATATATTATGGTGTAATGGCAATAAAGATTTGAATTGAAAAAAAATGTCTATTTGTTAAGGTCTTCATCGCTCTTTAATATGGGAACCTTTATAGCGAATGCATTGAGAAAAATTCCATTTCCATGATGTCTACGTCGTTCTTTACTTGCGATACTTGATTTAAAAAAAAATGCATAGAACAATTTATTCCTATTCTTCATCTTGACAGTCGATGTATAGGCCCTTTAACAATAAACAAATCATTCATACTCTATAACAAGGTCAAGACGATAAGAAGTATGATTACTATTAAACATGTTACAGATACCTTACCTCATCATAAAACTGGACTTGTAAAGTCAATCTTATATCAGTAAGGCCGGCAATTTCTTCAAAAGCTGTTTCAAGTAAACTGGTTCGGTTTACCATTATAAAATTTGTTTCGCCATCGATAGTTGTTGAATCATCAACAAGATCCAAGTCTCGACCATAAACCAATCTTTTTTGGATACACCTCAGTATATCTACAGGATCTGTTATTTTATTTTCATTACAGAAATCTATACATGAATTTATTATTTGCTGCAGTAGATCCGGCGTTTCAATAGCATTTTCATTAATGTGTCTAGGCATATACAGATTTGGAAGATCGTCTACTGAAATGGCACTGGTATTAAGATCATCTACTGAAATGGCACTGGTAATAAGATCATCTACTGAAATGGCATTGGTAATAAGATCACCAGTTGTTGTTGTAAGCGTTTCTGCAGCAGGTTCTGTCACTCCCTCTTCCGGCACTTCAGCTCTAGATTCTGAATTGTCCACATTATCTTGTACATCAATATTATTAACAGAATTACAGTCTTTCACGTGTTCTCGAAGGTCAGACACTAAAAATTCTCCTTGACAATTTAAGCACATTTCTTTTATATTAGTTTTATGTACAATATAAGCAACACTGTCTAAATCAATATCTTTTTGAATTGGCCGAATATAAATTTTTGACTGACTGCCAATATTAGATCTCAAGCTTTCCGGCGTCCATTTTCCTGCAATCACCTCTAGTACTCTACAGTTACTCTGACATCTCATCAGCTCGAATCCCCCACACTGATTTAGCTTACTAAATCCCTCCGAGCTGATGAGATGTCTTCGAAACGCTGCCTCGTCATCACTTAATGCAAATTGCATTTTTTTTATGCCCATTCCTGCTCTTGATAAAGCGACCCTTTCTTCTGCAGTTGGTGTTTTAATTGCGTCCTTTTTGGACATGCAAACAAATTCACATGTCCATGTGCGTATCTTATTAGTATTTAATTTGCGTCTTCCATTAGATGATGCAGCGGTAAATCGTGACCTTGAAGGTCTGAATAGTGATACTCTTTCTTCCAGATGATTTCTGTCATCAATATTCAGTGGAAGACAATTTGCTAAAAAAAAAAGAGTACACGTAATAACCGGTCTGTTTGTGTCTCGTTTGAATTGTTTCAACTTTGTAATGGTCGGACCTTTATACCTTTAATACTATAAACAGTATTGGTTTTGATAATTGTCGAATGTCTTAAGTTGACCTATAATTACTAAATCTACGTCATATGGTAATGGTGGATAGTTGTCTGATTGGCAATCATATTTTATAATTAAAGTGTGTCATGGATCTTACTTATTTGTTAAGTGTAACTTCTTGTTGCTGTTTATATTGAACGAGGAATACTGCTTTCTCAAAAGTTGCAAGGACAGGGCTATGAATCAGTCATTTAAAGTCATCACTCAAGAAATTTTACGGTCGCCATCATGAGCTAATTCACTAATTGACCATTATGACAAACGTGTGTCAGAAATTATATCTGACATTCTTCCTCAGTCAAAATAACCTTCCATCATTGCCGGACTTAAATAAATAAAACGACGCGTGCCGTATACGGTGCAGGAAATGCTTACCCTTCCAAAGCACCAGACTGTCCTGATTTCACTCCCGGTTTTTAGTGGAGTTCGTGTTGGGGCATACCTTTTTAACCCTGTCCGTCCGTCCATCCGTCCAGTTATGGGTATATAGTTATTCCAGATAACTCCTACAGTTTGAATGCTAGGAAGTTTTCACTTTGCTGGCTGTTTAAACACATATTGAAGGTGTGCAAATAATCTGACAGGGTTTTGATTTTTATTAATATTTGCTTTTTTGAAAGATAATTGAAGTTCGTCATTTTTTGAGTATATACATGCATAAGAGGAGCTACCATTCGATATGAACCTTTGACCAACGTGCTCCCATGCTCAACTTTGTGTATTTTAAAACAACACTTTGCATCTGCGGGAGCATCATTTGTGTCTCCTAGACAACAATATCTCATTGACTTTGTTATACTAGTATTACAGTTACTTCTGTGTGGAGTGCCCCCGGAGGCATCAATTTGTCTAGTTTCTTATTTATGTTTTACTGCTGTTGTAGATGTTTTTTGGTTTCATGAGTTTTTGTTTACTCCTTGATTTTGATTGTTATTGTTTGTACAACTTTGATGAGTTAAGCCTTTTTCAATTATTTTATTAGTGTAGCTTTTTGTGTCGTAATAACACACCACTATCTCAGGTTAGGGTGAAGGTTGGCACCTGTTGAAACGTTTAAACATTTTACATGCACCTGTCCTAAGTCAGGAGCCCCTTGTTCATTGTTGTAGTTCAAAGGTGTTTTTAGTTTCTCGTTTGGTATATTGGTTTAACACTGGTCATTTAGGGGCCTTTTGTAGCTTGCTGTTCGGTGTGAGACATTGCTCCATTTTGAAGGCCGTATTGTCCTATAATTGCTTACTTTAATTAGATTGTGACTGAGATGGAGAGTTGTCTCATTGGCACTCATACCATATCGTCTTGTCTATCTTGTGGATAAGTTTCAAAACATATAGGTGATACAAACAAAAGTTATAGAACGGAAAACAACTTCGGGACTACAGACAGACGGACTTTTGTACGGACGGACAAGGGTAAACGTAATTCTCTTTCGCCTAACAGCGGGGGCATTGACAAATGTTAAAGATGTTCATTGAATACAGGTCAAGATTCTTCAAATAGTTTCTATGCGTTCTTAATTGTAAATAAAATAATTTCGTTGATAGAAAATTGTTTTTTCAGCGTCCATCAATTAATATTCTCTTCCAAAACAGGCTTCATTTTTTTACCTGTGCAGCTGCGGCCGCCAAGTTGTCGACGAATTAATTAATTCTTTATTAAAGCACAAATTATACCCATAATAGGGTCAAAGGCATATACATAATAACAATTAAACAAACGATACATTTTAATCAGTGGTGCATAATACATAACAACTTGTGTATAACTTCATCTTTGTTGTATGCGGTTTAAATCCTGCATATACAACACAAATTTGACTTATGGATAGTTCTCCACAATAAATTGAGCCACGGTAATATTAAAAAAAATTAACAGAACCGATTTTTTTTTTTTTTATCTTTTTAAACAATTATGACCGACTCCTTTACTAAATTACTTGTACTTTATAATGCTGCAATACGACGGGTCTAGACGTGAAACAATACGTGAATATACGCTTCTTGGGCAATTCGTATCAAACCAGTTATTTGTGCGTTCTTTTGTTACATTTAATTCTTCAGTTCTCTGCTTGATTCGATTTTTGACAAGGACGTATTGTCAGTTTACTTGGACCAAACGTGTTATCGTTGTTAATATAAATAATAATAATAATAATAATTCTTTATTTTAAGAGGGTAACTCAATTAGAACTTGTCTAATTTTCATTGAGGCCCTCTAAACAAATACATGCATACAATTCAGGGGTCGAATTTAAGGTTTTTTGTGTAATGGCCAGCCGGACCAGTGGACTGAAAATTCTACTGGTCCTGCACAAAATCTACTGATCCTGAAAAAATGACATTTTATAATGATGGTAAATTGAGGTAAAATATGAGGAATCAAACACTAATTTACTCTTATGGTTGGACT